AGGTGAATCGCAACTCATGCAGGCTCCCAAATCAGTGAAAACTCAAAGTTTGAAGCATCAACACAAAGGGAAACATCACGAAACTTTCACAAGGTGAATCGCAACTCATCGAGACTCCCAAATCAGTGAAAACTCAAAGTTTGAAGCATCAACACTAAGGGAAACATCACGGAACTTTCACTAGGTGAATCACAACTCATTCCCCTCCCCTTAGATCAGCAAAAATCGCAGTTTTGATAAGAGGAGAAAGGGGAGAAGGGGGGGAGAAAAGAAAAAGAAGAAGGGGAGAAAGAAGAAGAAGAAGAAGAAGAAGAAGAAGAAGAAGAAAAAGAAAAAGAGGAAGAAGAAGAAGAAGAAGAGAAAGAGGAAGAAGAAGAAGAAGAAGAGAAAGAGGAAGAAGAAGAAGAAGAAGAAGAAGAAGAAGTAGAAGGAGGAGGAGACCTTTCTCCTCTTTCACTCACCTCTTGCTGGTCTCTAGGCCGTGGGGGTCCAATGCTTGGTTCTAGCCTCCTTGGTATGGCTTCTCCTCTCTCCCAAGTTTTCTCCTCTTCCCTCACACCTCTCCTTTAGCTATGGCAGGCTCCTGCCTCTACGGTTGTGAAGTCCTTCCCTCTAGAAGGGCTATGGGGACCCCTTTCAGCCTCTCCTCCTACTTCACAGTCTGAGGGTTATGGCGGACCACTCTCCTTGCTCCCGTCTAGCCTCTAGGTCACCTTCCTTAGCCCTACTACCATAGTCAGGCTACAGGCTAGCTCCGGCCCTCACTCCCTTGTTTCTCTCCCACTCGGACTCTTTTCTGGACTCATTTGGGCATCATGGGCACCTCTCATGCTCAAATGAGAGTGGCGGTCTACACCTCCAGCTTATGTAGGCTGGAACAGGTGCACCGCCCAACCTCAAGGCCCCTCTAAGTGCCTCTAGGTGGAGCGAGGTACTTCAAAGGCCAAATTTTCGATTTTGGCCTATCTCGGGGTACCTGAGCCTCATTTCGGCTAGGTACATGCAGTCCGAGAAGCTGGTACCCTCTCGAACTACCCCTTGGCCTACCCCGGCCTCTTTTCACCTAAAAAAGTATTGCATTTTGGGTACCGCGACCCCAAAATTCAGTCTTTACCAAAATTTGAGGGCCTAGAGGTCCGTTTTCCACCTTTTTCTCGGTCTAGGCCTCCTTTGGGTAGGCCGTTGTATTTTCCCAAGTGGCGGCACAGATCTCAACCTTGGATCTAGCTTAGATCTATGGTTCTCATCATTCCGAGTCACTCCAAGCTCCCCCTTCCTCCAAATTGAAGCCTTTGCTCCAATTTTTAATTTTTTTGATGTACCTGACCCACACCTTGGGCAGAATTCGCAGTTTTGTCTTCTTCCTCTTTTGGTTTTCCCTCCATTTTACTGCCAACTCATTCCGGAGCTAGCCGTTTTGTGTCAGTCCACAAAAAACAGTTAGATTTCCTCTTCTGCAAGATCAGATTTCAGATCTAGGGCCCAAAATTGAGCCGACCAACTCACATCAACATTTTCCCTTATTTTTGCTGCTTAAATTCAGATATTGCAGAGATAATGCCCCAAGGACCTTATCTCTGCAATCCGGACTGCCCTCCTAGGATCTAGGAGGGATGAGGTCATCATTGAGACATGCCAGTCCCTACCGCTGCAGTCCCAACCTGATGGCACTTTTTCCTCCACTCCTTCCTCTTCCTTTGTCTCATTCCCCCCCTTTTCCTGCTTTCTTTTCTCGTTTACTGTTGGGACAAGTGTCCAACAGCTATTTCTCCTCTTTCTAGTTGTTGGACCTTTCCCAAGGTCCGATTCTGCCCAACTTCGTTTTTTTTGGCCTGGCTGGTCCGGGATACTCGGACTGCTGGCCGCCCCCCCCCTTACTGCTGCTACTCCATCTTTTCTTTCCCTTCGGCACCTCCCGACGGCGCTTGCCGTGGCGGCACTTAACGTTTTCATCCGGACTCCCCGGCCCGGCTGGTCCCGTCCACCTGTCATCATGCTACTTCATTTCTGTCGTCGTCGCATTTGATCCCAGACCCTCTTGGGTTGCCCCAGGTGCCCTCCGTTTTTCCCGCCTCACGCCGTCTTCTCCATTCTGTCGACAATCCCTGTCGGCGGCTCTTGACACTTTTTATTCCGCCAATACCCAATTTGTTAGTGGTTCCGCTGGTGCCGCCATTTTATCTAGGCCCACGCGGTCCCTGGCACTTCGGCCTGCCTGCATTACGTCTTTCTCTTGGTCTCACGCAGTTCCCGGTACTTCGCCCTACCGGCACCACGCCGTCCCTTGGTCCCGCGTGGTCCCCGACGTTTTGTCCTGCTGGTATCGCCCCGTCCTTCGATCCCATGTGGTCCCCGGCACTCCTGCCCCGCCCGTACCACGTCTTTCCTTGGTGCCCCTGACGTCTTTCTGCCTTACAGCGACCTCCGCTCGCCGCTCCTATTGCGTCCCGCATGCTATTCCGTTTTGGGTGCCGGCTCCCACCTACCCTGCGGTCTCCCTGGCCCTGTTGCCGCCGCGTTGCGTTAGCGCCTTGCGCCCTGTCCCTTCCCACTCCCTTCCTTCCCTTGTTGCGCACCTCCTATGCTACTACCGACTTCCTGGCGGCCCTTCAAGTTCTCCCTCCTTGGGGAAGGAGTCGCCCCTGCTGTTCTCTCACAGTCCTTTTGTCGCTTTCTGCTTAGCAAACCCATTTCTAATCTGGCGACCCCGACGACTCTGGGCTGCCTCTGGCTTCCTACTGTCTGTGCCCATGCTTCCGCTCTTTCCAGCATACCTGCCTCCGGTTTTCTGTGTCGTGCACAAATTGGTCATATACAGTCTCTCGAGTGACGGGAAGTCATTCGGGACTCACCAGTCCCGACACCGTGCAAATGTTTTGTTTTACCGGGTTGTGGGTCCCCGAATATTTGGAAAGCATTGTTGGCGGAAAAATCGAAATTTTTAACGATGTTTTTGACGGGAATCCTAGTGCCCGAGCGTTCGAATTATTTGCTTTACCGGGAGTCCTAGATCTCCGAAATTTTCGCCGCTAACGGTCCAAAATTTCAACTTTTGCGAAAACTTGTGGCGGGATATTCCAAATTTTTAACAATATTTTTGAAGGGGATCTCAGTAGCTGGGCTCTCCAAATTTTTCGTCGTTAACGGCTTAAGAATTCTTCTTCTCCAAAATCCGTAGGTGGGAAACTCCAAATTGTTATGGACGGGAATCCTAGTGGCCGAGCGTTCGAAATTATTTGTTTTACTGGGAGTCATGGATCTCCGAAATTTTCACCACTAACGGCCCAAAATTTTAACTTTTGCAAAAACTTGTGGCGGGATATTCCAAATTTTTAACAATATTCTTGAAGAGGATCCCTGTAGCTGGGCTCTCCAAATTTTTCGTCGCTAACGGCTTAAGAATTCTACTTCTCCAAAATCCGTAGGCGAAAAACTTCAAATTGCGGACGATTTTCTTGACGCGGGTTCCACTAGGGGATGTTTTCATTTTATTTCAATTCCATGTCGAAGAAGTTCACGCCCGTTAGCGATGCTCTTGTGGCCGTCCTCTAAGATTGAAAGCTTTCAAGTGAGCCCGTGATTAACAGTCGTGTCGTTGTTTAGAGTCTTTCAGATTTGTTATCTACTTTCTCGCACCAACACGGAGTCTTCTCTTTTGTTGGCGACGCCATCGCCACTTCTAGACGCCAGATAGGTTGTTATGTCATATCTTCCTGCTATGGATTCTTTCACCGAAAGACATACTCGTCTTGTCGTTAATATGACCACAACCCGAGGTCAGAGTAGTCGCAAGATTAAACCCGTGAGGTGGTTTCCAAACCTTTCTCAATTTAAGAAGAGTGTTGATGCCAAGAGTGTCAAGACGAAGATTGCCAGGTGGTTTCCGGACCTGCGTCAATATTCTACAAGCGGAGACGACAACCAGAACCCTCTACCACCGAAGCTCAGTGCAAATGGTGAGAAGACCACCAATGTCTGTTTGTTTCCGAAGCGCCCATGATCGAAGACGACAACAAGAACGGTTATTGCGCCTGAGCGAGCGACAAACATGGTGAAAGGTGTCTGCACAACCGGCAAAACTAGGAGTACAATCCAGATAGAGCGCCCAAGGAAGCGTCAGTGCCCAAACGCTGAAGGTGAACAATCTAGAGAGATTGACAATGTACAGGACTTGAGCGAGAACTTTGTTGTAAAAAAAATGCGCAACAACAGTATTGCGCAAGAATTGTGTGACAACGACAATGAGGAGGGGGAATCGAGTGACGACGATGAGGAGGAGGAGGAATCAAACGACGACGATGAGGAGGAGGCGGAATCAAACGACGATGACGAGGAGGAGGAATTGAGCGAGGATGAGAAATCAGACGATACAAACTCTGAGGACAATGAAGTTAAGGACGCATCCGAAGTTGATGTCGACATGTTTAAGAAGAGTCTGTCTGGAAAACTTTTAGGAGAAGCGAAGCAGATAGTGGCACAGGAGTTGAGAAGAGGATTGTACAACAAATCAAGCAAGAGCGAGAAACCTCCTTACAACTTGGGAAAGTGCGACAGAAACGTACGTGTGTACAACAAGAAAGCTAAATACCATGTGAACATGAAGAATGTCGAAGTAGTTTTCAAGGAAGATTGTTGCAAGGCCAAATGTTACACGAAGTTCACGGTAGAAGATGTTTTCTACAAGCGAGAAAAATTTTGGGCGATGAAACAACCAGAGCAAGTCAACTTCCTTCTCGCAGAGATGAGGGCTGCGTCGTATTTCTCGGATGATGGAGATTTAAAGGTGTTAAGAGTGACATTCAACGACATAAAGGTTTGCACAAAAGCGTGAGGAAAGTTGTACGGATGCTCGACTACACGCGTTGCAAGGCTACACAAAGACTTCAGAGACGGACTAGTGTTGTACGAGCATGCAAACAAAGACTCAGTCGGATTATCTGCTTCATCACAACAAATTATGGTCAGGTTGCATGAATATTTTCAATTTAACATTGAGAGTATGCAGAATAGCGACCAATTTYATCTTTCAGATACTCTCCGACGCAGAGACGTGTATGATTTCTTYAAGCGATACTGCAAAGCGCTTTACACGAAGAAGACTTTTCCTTCCCGTTCCAGATTTATGACGATTTGGAGGGTTCACTGCCCCAAAGTTCTCATTCCTGCATTGAAGAGGTTCTCGGTTTGTTCCACATGTCTGAAATTCAAGACAGGTCGTTCACAGRCAACYAGTGCGTTCGAACGAGGTGATGACAAAACCTCAATGCTTATTTTCTCTCTCTTTGTCTTCCTATCTCTTCTTCTTCTCTCTCTAAGCATTCTACTTCTCTCTCTCTCTCTCTCTCTCTCTCTCTCTCTCTCTCTCTCTCTCTCTCTCTTTCTCTCTCTCAGTCGATTTGTCTCTCTTTACTTTATTTTTTACCATTTGTATTTACAAAAGAATCATTTGTGTTTCGCCTCAAATAATAAGTTAAAGACAATCTGGTAAACGATGTATCTCATTAAAGCACGATAAGGTTCATTTTTTAAAATTCGGCACAACGCGACCGGCTGTTCTGACTCATTCTTCAATTTATGACACAGCTTGACTGACTGTTCCGACTTATAGCCCTATAAGTTGGTCTTTACAGAAAAGTAGAAACTGGGATTCGCGCATTCAAGAAAGGAGTCTCATGGAACTCTTCTTCTTCTCTCCCTAAGTCTTTATCTTCTTCTTCTTCTTTTCCCTCTCTCTCTCTCTCTCTCTCTCTCTCTCTCTCTCTCTCTCTCTCTCTCTCTCTCTCTCTCTCTCT